TACTTTAAATTATTTTGTTGCATAAGGAATTTGTCGTTTATATGTCATCAGACCACGAAGTCCTATACTTCTTAGCTTAGTACATTATTTTTCTTCTCGCTTGCATACTTTTTACTACTCTTCTAATGGATTTACATTTTTAGGTTTAAATAACCTCAGTTTTAGGTTCTTTTCCTAGTAGTTTCAATTTTACACTAGGTTTCCTTAAATTCTTTGTTTTTTTTTTTAATAAACTCTTCAAAAATTTAATTTAAAGGTGTTAGTAATCAATAGGCACCCATTGAGAACAACATTCCGAGTTTTCTTCTTTTTCTATACTTCGTTATAAAAATTGGAACATTTCCTTTGATAGGTAGTAATTTTAATTCGGTATACAAAAATTCCTACTTTTTGGATCGAAGCAATTCTGAATACTCACTCGAGGACTATCAGCACTCTATCAATGCTTACTTTAGTGCAACGTACAAAGTAAAAGTCTCAACCAGATATTGGGTGTTAAAGATTTCTGCCTGGCGAATTCTGTGATACGAATTGAGAGCAAATATATTCTGTTCTTTTCGCCGGAAGTGTTTCCTCACTCTGTCAACTCTCAACCAGATTTTATCAATATCAGTGAAGAAAATGATGAAAACCATTGTAGCTTCGCTTTCAATCTAGTACAAATGCTTCGTTCTCAATCGCAATTTTTCTACAATGCAAAGACACACTGAAAAGCTTCTCACACTTGAGGCTCGAATGGTTTTCTATTTGACAGATTACAAACTAGAATTGAACGTCAGTATTCAGGTTGGTAGTTGACAAATGGTACGTATTTCTACTTAACTATAAAAAAATTGGAAGTTTTCATGTAAGATGCCTTCTCATTTCTCCTCTTATTTAGAGCATTTTCAAGCAAACCGGTTTTACCCAGTCTTGAATTACTTAAGCAAATCAGAAAGAAAAATGGGTTTATATCTACTCAAGTGTTAACCCAGTATCAGTTTCTGTATCAATGAACTGCTAATACAAAATTTACCGTAACTGCGTAATTATCCCTTTAGATCTCAAGCCGCCTCCTTCGAAGCCTCTCAACACAATAAAGATTTAAGCGAAACTACCCTTCATTGTAACGATCACTTCTTAGGTCTCATACTCTTCAACAGCTGATGTGAATACTAAAGAAA